TTCCCTTGCTTTATAACATGATCAATCATCAAATGTATGGGAAGCTGAGGTTCTGGAAGGACTGAGATGAAAGGCACTGAATCCAATAGGATGGAAACAGCAAGTGGTGAATCAAGGCTAGAAAACTTGTACAGAAAGGAAATGCCTCAGCATCAAAGTGGAGCTGATTTGCAAACCAAGAGAATATATAAGGAAGTACAACTCTGAAATGTTGAGCTGGGTACAGTGCAAAAACAGTGAGGCCTGTGGCTAAAAGAGGAAATTACAGAGAATACCAGGTTTGGGAACGTCAGGGTGGAGCAGAAAGATGGAGAACATTAAGCTATATTGATAGCTTATTTGATTATGCTAACTCAAACCCAAGAGTGTTTCTGGATTTAATAGAAGTGTTCACTTCTGGAGAAAACTGAGAAGGAAATGTTCTTAAGTGGGTATTGTGATGGATGGTAAAGAAAAATAAGGGAGTAATGCTTTTAAAGCCATGTCTGATTCAAAAGAAAAATCTTTCAACCATTTACTGTGTGATATTTTCCCATGGAGATAATTTTTAAAAGCTTTGGCTCACTTAGAAAAGAAATACTGAACCCTTTTTGTTATTACTTTAACTTGTCCAATCTCTAAACCACAGAGATACCTCAGAGGTTCATTAGAAATTCCCAAACCAAGAAAGAGGAAGGTCCCAATAAAAACAAACCAGACCAGATCCGTTAGGATTTGAAGTTTTGACTTCCTGATTCTAAAGAAGGGGTTGTAGTTGAGTTGCTGAACAATAATAAATGTAGATTTAAAGACTCCATATTTAAAATAATGAATCCCTTTCCTGTTTGTCAGTAGATTTGGCATGTATAAATAGCAAGCAATTGTAATTGTATGTTAGCAATTCTAATACAAATTGTCAACAAGGAAGTCCCCTCTTTAACCTAAACATTTACACAGAAAACTTTCTTCTTAGCTAACAGTTTTCTCTATTGTAACTTATTTTCTGTTATCTCATTAAATGTAGTCAATGGCCCTAATTATATTAGCAATGAAAGCAAATCTTGCCCTCTTCCACAAATCAATAAACACCTTTTAGAATCTTTTAGAAAGTTCTTTTCTACCTCTAGGCCGAGGTTCAATGATTAGGTATTACAATGCTATATTTCATCTCTCTGTCATACTTCTGAACTATGTAGAGCACGTTAAAGATCAAGAGGTAGTCCTTGTTTAGTCAGGACCTAGGGAAGGAGTGAAAAATTCAGCCTATAGTTCTCCAGAAAGCCATGCCCCCTTAGGAAAAGAAATTGAAAAGTACCTTGATACCAGCTTTTATAAGACACATACTACCAAATAAAACAGGAGCTAAAAATACCTGTTCAGTTATTTGTCATGACTAAAAAAATATTTCCAGGAACAAGGAATCGTAAGACTCATGAGCAAATCCACTGTTACTCAGCAAGTTAAGAAAATATGTAGTCCAAGGACTGTTTAGAAGTTTTTAGTAGCATAGCATAAATCCAGAAAAACTTCACCAAGGAAGGTTAATTGCATGATTCATGAGCCATTCCCTCACTCCCCACTTTCACTCCTTTTCTCTTGTGTTTGCTTCTTTTAAGAAATATTTTACTTAAAATATAATCAATATCACTTTGCCAGGGTATCCTATCTCCTTTGTGTGTGTGTGTTTTTCAAAGGACATGTCTGTTATATCCAGAATAGCAAAAGGAAAGATCAAATATTATCAAATTACCAATAGAAAAAATGCATTTTATGTATCAAGAAATTATTTTAAACTTCCTACTTATTGCCTTCATAGATTTCATATTTTCTTTTTAGCAGTTTCTTTATTTTTCTTCTCCTATAAACAGTCTACTTATTAACCTGCATAAATGCTCAGTGGAGTTCTCAGCATCTTACTCTGTCACCAACTTCTTCATCTTAATAAGAGAGTGATTTTAGTAATCTATTATTTAGGGAGAATTAAAGTCCCACAATTAAAGGCAAATCCTGGGTACTGAGGCCCTTGTTATTAACTGCAATTTCAGTTACTATATCAGCAGTTTTGCAAGGGAAAATCCTGTCTGCTCTTCCTTCTTAACTTCACCCTCCACCTCCTAACATTTGTCCAGTTTTTGGGTAGTATTTTTTTTTCTATTCCATGTAACAACTATACCCAATTCTTTCAAATCACAAATTTAAAAGGCAGAAGAATAAGAATAAAATAATTTAAATCTATCTTACACTACATGTGGAAATACCGTGTTATTTATGCAGAAAAATAATTAAAGAATTTCTGTGAGTTTGGAAATTACTCATTAAAGAATTACTCATTTTTTAATACCTGAAAACTAATATAATACATAAATGTATATATATGTAATCACTTTCTCTTTAATATCATTCACTGTGTTATAGTACATAAAGTATAGGTAAATTTCACTCAAGATTTGAATTAAAAAGTGTTCTAAGAAACTTTTGAAAAAGCATTGACACAGCAGAGGGCCCATGAAATTTGTCTCCTTCTGTGGTATGTGTTACAATGTCTTAACATTATTTATAAGGGAAGAGAAAAACAATTTCTTTTGATTATTTATTAATATTAACATATTAAGGAGCATTACCTACAAGTAATGTGTTTCCAGCTGTGTAACAGGCTGAACTGTGCTGAAATGAAGCCAGCACAGGGCTTGTATGAAAAGAGCAGAACAAATGACTTAAAGGGAGCCTAAAGGCAGCAATCAGAAAAGGTTCATTTAACATAGAGATGGCACAAGCTTCGAGCAATTGCCTCTACTTAAGCAAGTGTGGAATTACAAAAGGCTATTTATTACAGTCCAAGGGGCCCAGCAGCTTGCTCAAAGACCTTTGAAGAAATTCAACAGTTATAAAGTCTTTCTTAGTGCAGGAGCAGTAAAACCTGGGCAGACCCCAAAACTACTTGCAAAGTTTTTATTAACAAGTTAATACAAACTTCCTCACAATTGTTCTTTGAAATGAATTATTTTCATACTGTGCTTTTAACTAGTTCATTTTCAAAAATTCTTTGAAATATATTTTAACCATTAGGAAAAATAAACTAGTTTCATGATGGCTTTGAATTAAATATAGGGCCTCATGGATTTAAAAGGAAAGAGTTCCAATATCAAGCTTCTTTGAAATGTTCTGTAAGCACACCTTAAAAGTTGCTGTGTCAGTGGATTTGCTTCAGCAGAAAAATTAGTAGAATTTCTTCATTGCTTGTAAGATAAGCAAAATTTGGTTCCCAGGTCATTAAGAGCTACAAATTTTTTATTAGCTTTTGGAAAATGAAATGATTTTTCTAAGTATTAGGGTAAGTAAAAGGAAAATAATTCTCAAATATCCAACATTTCTGTTATTAATTTCTGTTATATATAGGTTTCAGCTTATCTTTTGCTTATAATCAACATCAGAACAGCAAAGTACAGGGATGGGGAAGGAGACCAATAAGGGAAGGAAAACAGAAGAATACTGAATAGCTGAAGAATCAACATGAAAAGTAAATGATATTAAAAGTTGTTAATTGCTAATAAGAGAAAAGTGGAAATAAGAAAATGAATTTATTTTTGATCAGAAGAGCAAAACCTACATTTTTCCTTGGCAAAACATTTAGGCATCATTCTCAGGCCATGAGGGTAACAAAGTTTTAATTACAAAATAGCTCCTATGGGAATTTTATAAATCATAGAAACAAGATGGAAAAATTATTGCAATGGATTCTAACTGAAGTGGTGAAAGTCACAATTAGTTAGGGAAAGCATTTATTTAAGTGAAAAATAGATCTATGAAAGACATCCATAGATAGGAACAGTTTAAGAGGTTGGACGCAAATGTCAGCAAGCCATAATCATCAAAACTCAAATCAACAAATATGGAACCTGTGCTGCTAGCTCTTCTAGGGAAGATAAATTCATAGGATTCAGATAGTTCTTGATTTGAGAAAAATTTATTAAAAAGTAGGTTCTTTAACCTACATTGAAAACAATTCAACAGTTAAAGTTTCTAAAAATTCCTTTTTGTTTTGTGTTTGCAATTTGCCTTCCTGCATTCCATTAGGGCATAGTGCCATGGTACCCTAGTGAGACATTTCAGTTGACTAATGTACCAATATTGGGATTTGAAGCTTGAAGTACATTGCTGAACAGTGTGTATTTTTATCTTTAAGGGAGGATTTGAAGTAAGAAATCACTTAAAATCATTTAGTCTTCAGTTACAAATGAAGATGACTTTTTAATATCTGATCCACACAGATGATTTTTTGTTCATATTCTATAGTGTTGATAATGTATAACAAATCATACCAAATACAGAGTCATCATCAAATAAAATATATCAATATATATCTAGATAAGTAATGCATAGAAGTCATTTCCCTATATTCCTTATTAAATTTTTTTAAGAAATAAAACTTTAAAGTAGATTATTGTTTCCTTGATATATTTTCATTCATGAGAGATTTTTGTCAGAAGTCAAGACCTACTGCAATATGTCCTAAATCATACCTATTTCACAATATGCTAAGTATTATTATTACCTGTGGATATCATGGACTTCTTGTGCATAATGTATTCCAGTATTTCTACAGAGCTGCATATGAAAATGCTATCAATGAGCTGAGGAGTCTGGCACTAATAATTTTGCAACATTATAACAAATAAGTAGTCCTAATGTTTTGTTCTTTTTTTAATATATCAAATATATTTCATTGCTTACATTATAGTAGCAGATTGAAAACATCTGCTCACTTGCCACTAGTCAACCAGCAGCAAAAAATCTCAGCTCATTTTCCATAGGCTTGCATGTACTAAGGCTATAATCCAGCTGGAGCTGTATATGGGGACAGATTAATATTCAAGAGCCTTGGAAATGGAAATAGTGCTTTCTCGCCAAAGATATGAACAATGATAGACTCCATTTGCTTGTTGCCTTCTTTCTGCTCTTATTCACCAACCTTCCCATTAACTATCTTTTTCCCACTTTCCCTTCCCTTTGTTTCTTCACAGCTCCATCACCTGTCATGACGATTAAAAAAGATCGGACATCCAGAAACAGCATCTCTTTATCATGGCAAGAACCCGAACACCCTAATGGGATCATATTGGATTATGAGGTCAAATACTATGAAAAGGTGGGGGAAAATGTTACAGGGCTGAGTTGGGTTTGGAAAGGCCCTATTTTCTCATGAGCTGTGATCTTGCTAAGAAATCAGTGGCATAGCTAGTAAGTGTTATTTAGAAACCTGGTCATGTGACCTTTTGATTTATAGGTAGAGTGGTGTTTAGAAATAGCAAAAAGTAGTATCAAGGATGTCACTCCAAAACTTAAGCTAGTTACTTAGAACATCTATGTCCTTCCACACCAGGACCTGCTCCACCAATAATTTTACAGTAATTCCTCAGTCTACTAATGAACTATTCCTTAGTTCACTGCCTCAAGCATTTTCTGACCTTCACATTCATACAAATTTCTTTTAATTCAGTTAGCAGAATTGGCATTAATAACAAAAACAATGAATTATTGAACTGACAATGAAAATATTTCTTGATTCTGTGAAGGGAAATTTAGAAAGTGGGGATGGATGGAAAAGTTTGCCTCACATTATAAAACTGCAGTTCAATAAAGCAATTATAAAAGTGAGTACTTGTTAATTACATATAGAATCCAGATAGTTATTTCATTACTCTAACACTTACTTCCCTGGTTATAAGATATGAAAATGTTTGAGAACAAGATACATTCAATTTTATCCCCAGAGCTGGATAGTTTTATGGTTAGTAATGTGAACAGAATATATTTGCAAATATTTATAAAGTAGCTTAAAGCTAATTAAAAACAAGTTGTAAATTTAGATAATAGTTTGTATTTATAGAATATTTCTGCATATGATATTGAAATACTAGAAGTACGATAATCTTATGAAAGTAGATAGTGTTCTTTTATGAATAAGAAAATTAAGAATCAAGTATCATTAGATGAATTTCCCACAACTTCACTTCTAATAAATATTAGGTTCCTGTCTTAAATTCTGGCAGTTATGATTACTTATTTGGTATGTTTTCCCCTGTATTATATATTTCCTTCAGCATAAGAATAGATAATTAGAGCTTGAGATCATTTGTAGGATCAGAAGAGACATAACATCCACACATAGTTTTGTATCATGTAGTTATTTCCTTTGGTAAATTTCATATGTATCACAAGTATGAGGTAACTTTCTTCATATTCCTGCTTCATGAAAAAGGTATGACTTTTTCATTAAAAGAAAGTGATGTCCTACTACATTTAATTATACTAACATCATAATATAGATAAGGTTTGTTCTAACTTTCATTCATCCACTGTGGTAAAGTCTAGTACCCATAAGATGATAATCTTATTTTTTTTAAGTATGACACACCATACTGGCAATATAAAAATCCAAAGATTTATTGATGATCTTACAAAATAAAAATTATACACTATTATTTTCAAACAACTTTAACCAATGCAGGATATCCTAGGTATTATTAAATTTGATATGAATATGCATTCAGTATTACCTTTAATAATAAGTTATAAAACTTATCTTTAGCATGCAGACATGATATTAAAAATTACTCCCTAATATACACATGAGGTTTGAAAATACTTTGAATGTTTTACTAGAATTTGGGTTCCACAAGATTTAACTTCCTTGACTACTTAATTCATAATAATGAACAAAACCTGGTTTTTGGTACATGCTTAATAATTTTTAAGGAATGAAATAATTATTTATGTAAAATAAATATATTCAACTCTCTTCATTATTTTATGTGGTGATTCAAGTGCTCTCTGATACAAAACCAGCATCTTTAGCTAAAATGTATTTTTAATTATCATATTACCATAATCTAGAAAAAAATAAAAATTCTATGTGGAGTCCATTTTTTGTAAATGAGACTTGACATAGAGTCTTTGCTATTAATGTGCAATGTGAACTCCTATGCAAGTTCCTTTTTGGAAACTGTTTCTAGACTTAGATCTAAAGGTATTTCTCCCTGCTGTTTGACAGTGATATAAATTAAATGCAATAAAAATAGAGTCATAGCGAGAAAATTAGAGCCTCTTATAGAAACTTAGCTTTTTATTTTTAGTATTTTAAGATTAATAGAAATATTTTCTATTTGAGATTTGAAAGGACACTCCTGTTAGGTTTATTTAAAAGGAATATTTTCTTGTATGTAAGTTCATTCTTAGAATCAATTTGAAACTTTCTTTCACCTTTTACTTCAAAGAGAATTTATTTTCACTTACATCTTCAGTAACTAGAATGAACAAAGCCTATCATTTCCTGCCTGATACACAGGGCACAAATCCTCCCAAATAAAAAAGCTCCGTATATTTTCATCTTTAAAGAAATTCCTCTATTGTATCTAGACAGTGAAACAATTGACATGAGTTTTTCACCCATTACATGCTCTATGTTAAAATCCTAATCGACTTTGAGTGGTTCATTGTTTATCATCCGATAGCATTACGAAGATTTGATGTTGACATGACTTTTTTCTTACCTCAAAGCAGGAACAAGAGACAAGTTATACCATTTTGAGGGCAAGAGGCACCAACGTTACCATCAATAGTCTCAAGCCAGACACTACATATGTATTCCAAATTCGAGCCCGAACAGCAGCTGGATATGGAACCAACAGCCGCAAGTTTGAGTTTGAAACTAGCCCAGACTGTATGTATTATTTCAATTTAGAATGTATGGGTAGGGCTGTTGCAAAAAGTGTTGGATACTTTATTCTCGCAAAGCTTTAACCGCACATTGAAAGTGTTTTGCTTGTGAGTTAAGCAATTTGAATAGCATTATCTCTGTGCATTTGTGTGTGGTCTATATACTTTTTCCTTTTTTATAAATCAAGCATCTACTGAATTTTGGAATGTTTCTATGTTCTACTAGCCATTAATTGCTTTTGAGGGACTATTCAACAATATGCTTCCAGTATCTGCCAGTCCTGATGTTCCAAGTTCATTGCATGATTCACTGAACGCTAGAGAAGAAACTTACTATGAGGATATTAATTTTGTTTTAATCTTTAATGCATTTGGTTATGTATAACTTAGAAAATAGGGACTTTTAAGAATATGTTTCATTTCATTCACATTCACAATTTGGATTACCTATTTGTTTGATTTTGAATTTGGCTACAATTGGTCTAAAATTGGCAAACATTTTCCTAATAATTTTTTCTGTATTCAAATGCATTTACTTCATACTTAAAAAGCCATCTGCTAAAATACAATTTTCAAAATAATCATTACTATCATACTAATATAAAATTAATACAACTCAAAAGTTTTATTTAGTTCATTAATTAGTGAGGAGACTAGTAAGGAGGATAAGACTGGTTGAAAGGAAAATTTGAACAGAAACATTCCCACATACACGTACATATTTGTGTGTGTGTGCATGTATACTCAGGTAATCAAGACTACTTGAACAAATTTGCTCCTAGGATTAGAACTCGTTACTATCCTATTGGGATAGTGAAATGTAATAATCAGAATCATTGTTTCTATTCAATTGTATCTCTAGTGAAAAACTGCCATTGTAATTATAATAAGAAAATAATATACATCACTAACAATTTTCTACAAACCAAGTTCATAGGTATAAAATAGTCTCGAAGGATGATCAAAGATGTATATACATTAGACTAAGGTTATTCTAAAAGGGCCTAGCACTCTATTGAAGAGAAACCGTTATCTCTTTTGACCATCTAATTTGCCGTTTTCCCCAGAACTTATATTCCTTATTTTCTAAATATTTTGTTTCTGGCATAAAATCACATTATTATTGGTATGGTAATAGTTCATGCCCAAATTACATCCCTAGTTGGAACACGCACATCTGACCAAAAGCAATTTTTAAAAAAACCTGCTTAAGTTAATCTGATGAAATAAATATTTTATGGCATACTTTTCTGTCAGTTGGAAAGACTGCTCGCAGTAATGAGCTGTAACTTCTGCAAGATATTGAGATTCTAATACTCTTAAAAGTCATCAGTTCACAGAGAATCCATGACAATTCTGCTTAAAAATCTGTTATCCTCAAGCACATAAATATACCCTTAAAAACCTATTCTAATCCCCCTGTGATGAAATGAGCATGAAGAAAGCACTCTGAAGACATGTGTAGTGTTATAGAAATCCATGTGAGCAAAGTTTAAAATGAATTAAAAATTTTAGATAACTTGATAATAAAATGTAATTGCAAGTTGACATTAGTAAGTCTTTTTTACAGTGTTTAAATGGTGAAAAGGAAGTTTCTCCTTTTGAAATGACTATAAATATTCAATTTATGAATACGTATTTGAGTTACCAGCAAGAACAAAATCTATACTTGAATTTCAAGGGAAGATCCCAAATCACATAAATAGGAAAAGAAATTGTTTATGATATCTAATGGGAGAAATTAGGATATTGGAATATCTAAGCTGTGTGACAATGATCAGCACTTAACCTTATGTGATAGGAAAATTTGCAAAATCAACAAATTCAGAATTTCAATGTAATTCCAGATTTGCCACAGACACTTTGAGTTGGATATTTATACATGAGCTTCTATGAGGTCCCAGTATCTGAAGTTTAGCAAATATACAATGAATACCATCAAAATATGTTGCATATGCATGCATGAAAATGTCACAATGAAATCCATTATTTTGTAATTTTTTATGTATGATAACAAAAGGAGTTAAAATAAAAAGAAAGAAATCTCAATTTAGGGGCTGGGATATAGCCCAGAGGTAGGGCACTTGATTGGCATATATGAGTTCCTGTGTCAGATCCCAAGCACAAGAAGAAAGAGAGAGAGAGAGAGAGAGAGAGAGAGAGAGAGAGAGAGAGAGAGAGAGAGAGAGAGAGGAAGGAAGGAAGGAAGGAAGGAAGGAAGGAAGGAAGGAAGGAAGGAAGGAAGGAAGGAAGGAAGGAAGGAAGGAAGGAATAGAAGTTTAAGATAAGAAGAAAGGAAAGGAAAGGTAGAAAAAAAATTCTTGCAATGCATTGATTGCAAGAGGAAAAAAAGGATAACAAGAAAAATATGAACTTTATCTCTTTCTGCTCTTTATTAAATCAAAAAGTTAAGTTGTATGGCTTGATTTTTTAGCAAATCAACTTATTCTTGACTTCTTCACTGAATTCTTATAGAATAAAAATTAAAATGGAAAAAATAAAAAGTAAACATCCTTTTTACTATTTTTTCTATTTTATCGTTGTGGTAAGTGGGAGTGTACTGGGGCGTCCACAAATGTTCTTACAATATAACACATATGTCCTACCAGGCAGGACTGTTCCACCCTCCTGTTGTCTGATTTTGTGAAAAAAAAAAAAAAAGAAACCAAAATTTTTGTTTGAAATAGTTAAGCAGAGAGGTTCCTGTGACATTTCCATGTATATATGTATTATAACCTGAATTGGTTCATCTTGTCTATTTTTCTTCTTTCTACCTTAGTCCCTTTCTTATGGTGATTTCAACAGGTTTAAAACTTCTATATTCACTCTTGTACAGAGAGTACATCAACCATATTCACCTTCTTAATTTCCTTATATCCTTTTATCTTAGCAGGAAATTAAAAAAATCAACCTTCATTCTAGTTTTTCAAGTCAAAGTGATACAAATAGAAAAACGCTAGAGACATAAGTCTTGTTTAATGCTAATATGTAAAAGATACAAAAAGACTCCTTTGATTTAATGGTTTGCTTTTTTGGCTACTTTTTATTTTTAATGATTCTGTGACAACATTTTATTCATAACATGAACATTTCTTATTAGAGTACTGGTTAGATAATATTTTCTGATTTTGGTTCATACAAAAATCAGCTTTGGTTAGATAATATTTTCTAATTTTGGTTTATATAAAAGATAGGGAGGCACATTGCATAATTTAATTGCATTACAATATCTTATTTATTGTATGTCAGTACTTCACACTCATTATTAATTCTTTTTTTGTAGGTGAGGAAATGAGCATAAAGGAATTAAATAAGTAACCTCCCCAAATCACACAGATAGGTGATTGGTCTGATTCTAGATTTCATGCTTTTATATTACAATATATGAAGCATTTTTACAAATATTTCATTTGTTTCTGCTTTGTAACCTACTTAGATACAGTGAATTCCTTTTATACAATCTAGGACACAGAGTCATGTGTCATTCAGCGTTTGCATATCTAGTAAGTAAATGAGAGCAATGAAACTAGAATGTCTTAGTTTTGGAGTCCTGATCCAGTGTTGCCTCTCTCTCACACACACACACACACACACACACACATACACACACACACCACACACACGATGCAAAACTAAAGCCCATAGACAGCACTGAGTTCAGAAAAATAAAAGGATTTTCCTATAGTAAACACAGCTTCTGCCAAAGGAAGAAGTGCAAACCATAAGACATTGTATTTGTTACCTTTTTCTTACTGCAACAAATACTCAGGAGAACCAGTTTAAAGGAAGAAAATTATATTTCAGCTCACAGATGGAGAGGTTTCAGCCCATGTCATCTGGCTCCACTGTCATGGGCCTTAAGTGTTGAGGCAGAACATCAAGGTGGCAAGGCATGTTGGAGGAAGGCTGCTTATCTCATGACAGCCAAGAAGCAGAGACAGACAGACAGAGAAAGGCCAGGGACATAACAGCCTCTCACTGCTTACCCCCAGCGAACTATTTCTTCCAATTAGCCCCACAACCTGGTTTACAAATTAAGAATCCATTAATGGATTAATGACTTGATCAGTTTATACCTCTCATGATCCAATTGTCTCTCAATAATACCACCAACTGAGACTATGCCTTCAACACATGACCCTTCTAGGGGACACTTTATATCCAAACCATAACAGGCATGCTTAGGAAAGTAGACAAATCAATTGCCTGGAAACTGTCAATGGGCAGAAGCTGAATTCAGGGTGTGTGCTTTATGTCATAGCCAGGAACAGTGGAAGAGCTAAGAGTAAGAACTTTGGAGTCCATTGGCATGTAGAAGAATGACCTTGGCAAGTCACTTCAATGCTCTGTGTTACAGTTTTCCTGCCTGAAAACTGGGATCATGGGTATAATCCAATACAGTTATATTGATTAAATTAGCTTTTGTTACCAAAGTGCTTAAATATTATGTGGTATAGTAAGCATTCAGTGTTTATGTGGTATGTGTTTGAGGAGGGACAGTATATTAGCTAGATCTGTTTTTTTTAATTGCTGCAACAAAATATCTAACAATAAATAATGTATAATGTATAATGAATACAAATTTGTTTTTCACAGTTCTATAAACTGAGATGTCTAAGATCAAAGATCAAGGGAGTAACATCTAGTGTCTGATGATGGCCTTTTTGATGCACCCTCATGTGGTAGAAGGTGGAAGGGCAAAAAGGGATGAGTGTGGTATCCTCCCAGGGCAGAAAAGAGTGCAAACATACTCCTGCAAGCCCTTTGTCTAAAGACATTAACCTATTCATGGAGGCAGAACCCTCATGACCTAAACACTTCGAGTGAGGCCATCTTCCAACACTATCGCATTAGGGATGAAGTTACTAACATGATGTTTTGAAGGAGAAACCATAACAACATATAGGTACTTTGTGTTTAAATAAATAGTCCATAACTTAAAGATGCAGATAATTAATGAATAAAAGACTAAAATATAAAGGTGAGCTTTAGTATTGGAGGATTCTATCGCCTGCTACCATCCAAGAAGATGAGCCCTGGGACAATTAAATTAGGATTCACGAGTGTCTCTCATCATGTTTTCACTGCTTTTAATTTGGTTATGTGTTTTCGTTAATCTCTGAGATTCGCATATATTTAGAGCTAGGGGAAAATGCAGAGAAATTCTAGTTTAATACACTATATGTTAACAGAACTTTTTTTTAAATACTGGGCTATACTGTTTTATAAACTATTCACAGATCTGTTCCTGATAGATAGAGATATGTAGGTCAGGTGTTCTGGGAAACAGATGCCAAGATGGAATTTCTGGAGCAATAGCTTAATGGGGAAATACCTAAGAAGTTAAAAGGGTAATGGAGCAGAGGTGGACAAGCAGAGCTGCAGACAGAAGTATGTCTGTCAAGTATGAAAAGAAAGAGGGAAAAAGGAAAAGCCTGGGGAGGAAGAGCCCCAAACTGCAATTCAAGAGTCTCAGCCATGCAAATGGAGAGCACATTTGAAGAGTCCTGCATTAGGTGTGGCTCCATGTAGATGCCTGTACTCCTGTCCCTCCCCAGTTAGTCACCACCTTGAAGGCTGAAGTGGTCCTGAAGATGTAGCAGCTGGAGGCTGTCTGCTCACTGCACTCTTGGCAGCAGCCAGGCTGGCACTCCCTTACTAGTGTAAACAATCCTATGCTAGTAGCACTGAATAAAGTGCTTGCAACAGTTTATGTTATAGTATGCCATCCTGTCACACTTTGAGCTCTTTCTGCAGATGCTTAGGAAATTTCTAACAGCCTATCTGCCATGTTTCTTATCTCTATCATTTAATTACCCTTAAGACTACCTGATTTGGAGAAAATACTCCAAACTTAGATGTAATAGGATTAAAGATGCAGTGTTGGTCTTGGTGAGGTGATAACATTCCAATACCTATCCTTTCTGCTTTTCTTTTCAGTCATGATTTGTTCATGGGTTCAATCATCATTTACTATAAGACCAGCATACACAAATGAGCCTATGAGGGCTGTCCCAGAAACTGCATGTAGTTTAGAAAGTCTAGAGATTCAAAATCTTATGGGGTTTGTTGCAGATGATGCTCAGGGTTTAAACAGGAAAATGATCCTAAGAAGTTTATTTGCCCTGCTATAGAATTTCCTTGAAAATGAGAGAAAAGCAGGCAAAGATTTTATGCTTAGGGGTACACAGTCAAATTCATGTTTTAATAGGAATACTTAGGTGACAAGGTAAAAGATAGGAAAGCAAATAAAGACCAATTAGGACTATATTATTATAGGGACTATATTTTAGAGGGTTTGGTGATTAATTTGAGTGTGAAGTGATCAGGAGAGGAAAAGGACAAGGAAACTTCATATTTATAGTCTAGATCTTTGCCATTCAAAACATTGTGGTCTGCAATAAGCAGCAACATCACCTGGTTGCTCATAATAAATGTACAATCTCAGCCCCAATTCAGACTGACTGAATCAGAAACTAATTTTTCAAAAAGATCCCCAAATGGTTTGTGTGTACATTTAAATTTGACAAGCAATGGTCTGGGTCAAGTTTCAAGAAACATTTTCTATAATGAGCCTGATAAATGTGTTAGTCTTTGTGTACATATAGTCTTTGTTGCTACTACTCCTAGTATAAAATCAGTTGTACAAAAAGGATTGTGTCCGTGTTCCAATAAAACTTTATTTATGGATACTGAAATTTGAATTTCATAGAATTTTCCCATGTCACAAAATTTTGTTCTTTTGACTTTTTACACCCATTAAAAAAAATGTACACCCTTTCAAAGCTCATGAGCTTTACAAAAACTGGTGGTGGGCCAGATTTAGCTCCTGGGACTTTTTTTTTTTTTTTAACCTCTTCTCTGAGTGGATGAATGAATGATGGAGTCATTTACAAAGACAAATTGCAGAGAGAGTTGTTTGTGCTGTGTGTTGAGGCATATTGGTGGTATGTGATCAATATTATTTCAAGTTTTCTCTTTTTTAATTTATTTTTGTAACTGACTAATAATTGCATATTCTTAGATAGTACAATGTGTCTAGAAAAATGTATGGGCTGTAAAATGATTATATCAATCTAACTAACATATCTATCACTTTACATCACTCTTTGTAGTGAGAATAATTAAAATCTTCAAAAATACAAATATACAGTTTTAGCTATGATCACTTTCCTATGGAACAGATTTTGAAAACTTATTCCTGTGTAACTGGAGCTTTGTATCCTTTTGTCAGTTTTTCTGTGTTCCCATCCTCTCCCCCTTTTCAGTCTCTGTTAATGGAGACTCCTCCCTACTTCCTCAAGTTTGACTTACATATAAGTGAGAACATGAAGTATTTGTCTCTGGCTGATTTTGCTTAGTATAATGTCCCCCAGTTTCATCTATATTGTTACAAATGAAGCACTGCTTTTTAAACAAATACAGATATGGGAGGAAAAAGAAGCTTAATTAGAAGGCATTCATTATTTCACACTGGGAATTCTCTGCCTGTTCACGGTATTTCTCTTATAACTGCTGATTCATCCAGTGAGTTTCTTGCCACTGGGGTCAGAGAAAACCAGGCTAGCATATTTCACACAGGAGGCTTTCAAGTAATGTCGATTGATGATGTTGGAACAGAGTATTTGAACTATCATAAAATATTAATTTCATTTATGAATTAGGTTAAAATTTCAAGCATAGTTATGGGAAAGATCTTTATTTTTACATCAAATGAAAAATATTTTCAACACTGAAATTAAGCATTAAACCACATTTCAGGTACAAGCAGAATATTGGACTTAATCTACCGTCTCTGCCATGTAGATGTTAATTATGATATGGTAATGCCCCTTCTTTTCTTATTTTTTTCTCTTCAACTTCACAGCTTTCTCTATCTCTGGTGAAAATAGCCAAGTGGTGATGATCGCCATTTCAGCAGTGATAGCAATTATTCTCCTCACAGTTGTCATTTATGTTTTGATTGGGAGGTGAGTTCTGTTTACTTTCATTATTGGTTTCCTTGCTGCCTTTGATTGCTCTTAAAATTTGAACAATGTGGACATTGAAGTATTTTAACAAATAAAAATGTCTCTACTTGTATTCTGAAGGCCCTTCTTTTGTCTTCCATTCTATTTTTTTCATCTTAGTTTTCATTTTCTTTTCTTCATTAGTTCTTGTCCCACCTCTAACACATACCACATCTCTTTTGACCCCACTTCTAGTTTCTTCCTTCTTTTACCAATTATTCTTTCACTCTTCAAATAACCCCAGATTCCTTGACACTTTCTCAACCCCAAACACTGTTAACACTGTGCAGCACTAATCCTTAGTAATGAAGACTTCATCCTTCATTCCAACAGTAGTTGTTAAAAATACTATAAACACATTCTAATGCCATTATAAAAACTGAACAGGAGGGGTCTGCACAGTAGGAAAACAAGTCTACCTATCTCCTCATTAGGCAGCTTTCCAGGGTCCCCAGAAAGAGTCTTTCTGTTGAGGATTTAAAAATATGAAGTCAATAAACTTTCACTAAAGCATTTAATTGTTTTATGAAAAAGCTTTATTTTTTTGTGCTTTGCATATTTGAGCATAGATAATTGTCATATGCATGTCTTCTCTTTTATATGTTTTTTTTCCTTTGATTTGCCTCCAGGTTCTGTGGTTATAACAAGTCAAAACATGGTGGAGATGAAAAAAGACTTCACTTTGGGAATGGGCATTGTAAGTTAAGTTTCTAAACTCTGTTTTAACAATTTAGTTTTAAAGTGTTTGATTTACAATTGGAAAACTTCCCTTTGATGAAAAGAATTCAAAAGTACTTTTATGGGAAAAAATGAGTAAATTAAATTTATTTTAGAAGGAGAAGGAGATTCATGGCTCTGCATTAAGCAATTTTTACATGGCTGCATTTCAGCATGCTGAAAGTTAAACTGAAGGGTAACCTGTGGTTCATATTCAAATAGTGCACATGATGGTAGTATGAACTGCAGTCTGCTCTGCGTGGCTGAAATGCAAAGCGTGTCTTACGTTCCCTTATTACTAGTCCTTTTCTAAAATCAAAATAGGAGACTTTTCTCTCTCCCAGCTGCCAAGTAAATATAAACAAGCTCTGTTTATGTGAAATGCCTTACTCCATTTTGTCAACCAACCAGGAAAGAGCCCTTAGGATAAATTGATTATTTGGAGTTGCGTGATATCTAATTGGTAGGAAAGCCAGAATGTTTCCTGCCTAGTTTAATACCAACCAATTTGGCCTCTTTTTAAATAATTTTTAAAAGAAACACCCTTTTAGGTAACAGTGTTTACATTTAACAAAAAGACTTTTTTTTTTTTGTCTTAGTGAAACAAATCATTCCATGTGTTTTGCTTTTCCAAACTATGGTTCAGCTCAGTGTGGCAATTACTAATCAGTGCACTTACGAGGAACAGCGTGTTCTCATAGAAATTAGCACGAAGACCATGCACTCTAAAATATCTCAGTATAACTAATGTAGTCTGGTAATCATTGCTATCTTTGGCATTTACAAATGTCTTTTAAAATTATTTTCAAACCAACATTCCTATCAGCCATTGGATTCGCATCTAAAAATGGTAACTTTGGTCATAAATCAAGTAAAAAACTTGATCATCTTTTGCTAACATTTAGTAAGTATACCATAGCTTGGAAAAAAAGAAAGAAAAGAATGATTGAAAAATGTATGTTGATATGATGTTTGCTGGAATTATTATGTATTCATGTATATAAATGGAAAAATGGGAATTGTTGAAACTATTCCAGGAATGGAGGGGGGTGTGAAGAATGATAAAGGAAATAAATTCAACTATGATATATTGTAAGAACTTTTATAAATGCCACAACATATCCACAGTACAATAATATGATAATAAAAAAGAATCAAAAAATTAAATAAAATAAAGAACATGTATTGATATGACATGAAAACAACTCAGGTGTGTGCAGAAATAGTATTTGTTCTGTCTGTCTCACTGCCTCACTGTTATAGAATAATTCATTTTATAATAAAAAAAACCAAGATACCACCTTCTTAATGTCAGTATCCCACAACCCAGTTTAGTTAAGTTATCAACTCAAAAGTTTTAAGAGTACATGAATAAATTGCAGGATATCTGTCTTCTTTTATTTCATGGGCCCACAAAAAACTATGTCACAAACCTCATGCATAAACTGGTCAGAGCAATTGCATTCTTGTGGTTTAAATCCTTTGAGTTGAGGTGGACAATGAATGTAAATGTTCTATCTTTAGAGTGAGACTCTGCTGACTTAGTTATTTTTATGGGAATTATAAGTCTTTTGAATATGGAGCCTTGATAAATTTCTGTGTGTGAATTCTAAGAGAGTTCTTTCTTGGAGCTCTCCCGCATCTATTTTGCTGTTTGCTTTGTGGTGGAGTTTGTTAAAATTTTCAACACACAATATCCTCATGATAAACAAACAAGAGGCTATACATTTTATCCTAACTTCAAAACGTAAAGAAATTTACATGCCCATCATAAACTTTCTGCCTCTCAATACTACAGCTGGTTTATTTCAGACCTTTATTTGGTATTACTTTAAAAAGCTCTAGCTATGAACTATTCCCTGCAGCCTTGTTACAAATCCTATAATATTGCTTCAAAAGGAAAGAAATGTGTTTCACCTCTTAAGATCCTGTCCCCTTGCCCTCTCTGGCTGGACCTTTTTACATTTTTGCTATCCTTAGGGCAACTCATGCTGGTAAAATGGAAATGTAAATTATTGTGTTTGCACAGAACGAGCTGTAAAGTAGTTCAGCTTAACACGTGTGCACGTGTTTATTATCTGGTTTTCATGACAGAGCCCAGTTACTCTGTATGTTGCCCTTAATTATTGCTGTGAAGGGATTATGTGCCTTTCAGCCTGAATCTTCTGGTTCCCAGAACCTACAAGGTGAGCAGTTAAAGATCGGCAGCCAAAGCTCCTACAGTGAACAGACTGTTTTAGCTGTGTGCATGTGCATTTATGTTTATAATTTTCCCCCAGATGTCATATGAATGGAAAAGCAATTCACCCTATTTTAATTAATAGAGGAGAGAATTACTTAGGATGAAATTTTTTAGGGGAATGATTATCTAAGTTTCAGATTATTTACTAATGCATACATCCTCTAGAGCTTATTCTAAACTCTAAAGCACATTTGAGACTTTTTTAAAGCCAATGTTTATTTAAAATATTTGAGACATTGCATTTGACATCTCATTTCGTACTTTTTGTAAATTATAATGCCAGAAAATCCCCTCTAGTATTTTCTTAAAATGTTAGCAAGGTAAAACATTTTTAATAAGTTACCAAAAAGTACTCACTTTTGCCTTATGCCCCTGAAAAGGAATGCTGCATTCTTTTTCTATACTGTTAAATATATAACAGGCAAATTAAAACATCATCGCTTCGTTAATCTGAAGTGAGTCTTCATTAAAAGGTAATAACAAGATTTTACTTCCTAATCTACTTTAGTAACTCCGTGGTTACGCCTCAGTTTTTCTTATTCCAAGGAAGGAAATGTACAATTACTTTCCTCAGTGTGCTTCTTGTTTTAAGGGTAAGGTTTTTTAATTGATAGTTAGAAGTCATTTTAGTGAAATAATAAAGTATAATAGACCTCTGTAGTAAGGGATGACTCTGCCATCTGTTTTATAGAAAGGAATAACGATTACATGAAAGAAGTATGCAAGTTGATCTGTGAGCTCAATAGAAAGGGCACTTCTGAGCCCAAATTCTAAAACCAGGAAACCTCAATGCAGTTAATAATTGAAGTAGGGCTGGATATGTCTCAATGTTAGAAGCAGGCTAGCATGCCCAGCATGTATGAAACCCTCCAGTGCAGGAGTGAAAAAAAATTGTTAATAAACACTTTTAACAATGAAAACACTAATTAGTGTTTTCATTTATTGAACACAAACTATGTAACAGACACTTGAATACCAAGTTTCTAAGAGCTTTCTCTCAGGATTGCTTGTACTTTTAGCTATACTATTCAATATAGAAAAGTTCCAAAAATTGGAATTGCTGCTTGAAAAACTCCTCCACTCTCAATTCACCCAAAGCAAAGGACAGTACTTAAATTTCCCTACTTCTGTTGATGTTGATGCACTAGATCATGGTATCTTTTCAAATTATTCACACTTGGCCTTAGACTGGAGGCTATAGTAATAGGTAGGCAGGAGGTGGAAACAGGGAGAGGATTAGCCTTTTTTCTACATTCTCCACCTGTGCTTTCCTCCGTCACCATCCCATTCCTATTGTGATGTGTCAATCATCTGCAGAGGTAGCTGTAGAAAGTGCAATTTTTACCTCCCATCTCTGCCAGCAGCATTTTTTAATAACCTATTTATTTTTACATCTGTGTTTCTTTATTTGAAACTTTCATAGGAACTGAATTATAATAAATCATAGAATTATAACAAATTCATAGAATTCATGAAATTGTCTTGCAATTCAAGAAACTGATCATTTGTTAATACAAACTCTGAAATCCTGGAGTATTGACCTAATCTTCACTGTAATGGAGGCCATCCAGGACCACTGCTGGATGAATCTTTGGTCAATACTGTGGTCAGTTTTTCTTCTGCCAGAGAGATTTAATGGAAGCTATAATGTCTGACTTTGTTATGAGAAAAAAATCCTTTGACAATTTAGTGTAATGAAGGAAAAACAAATATAACTGATAATCATGTCCCACAATAAAGGGATCTTATCAGTATTACCAAGGTTTAAATCATAATCAATCAATAAATCATAATCAATGAGCAGATATCCTAGGTAGATTAAATTGCAATGTTTTTTGCTATTAGAGCATATTTATGAAATTAATTTGACATTAGGTCCCTTTTTGAAAATTTAGCTTTCTTTTAGAAAAAGTTAATTGAACATTTCAAATGATCTCTTATTAGAATTATTTTTCCAAGTGATGGTGAGTTCATTAATGTTAAATCAAATACAGTGTGATTTGTCTATGTCATTTTTCTGTTATTTTAATTACAGAATGTCATGAAATATTTTCACTTTTAGAATAATTTAATAAATATATATAAAGGAGGATTCATCTAATAAATTATACACATGATTACTTTTAGAATCATTTACCACCATTACTAACCTTGTAGAAAATACTCATATTGCTTTTAGTAAAGTTGAAAAATGATACAAGAAAGCTTCAATTTATTGATAACATGTCAGGGATGTATACAGATATCAGCATACATATATGTGTGTATATGTATATACATATGTATAAGCATATACACACATATGTATATATGTATATACATATATATGTATATGTATACATATATATGTAGAATTTAAGCTAGCTCTGTAATTCATGCAGGGAAATTTTATTGTGAATGTTGATAAAGCAATATTGTAGAAAATATGCCTTTTTATATTTTTTAATTAATTTATTTATAATTATAGCCACTCCTCTGCCTTATGAAATTTCTTCATTTACTTTGTCTTATTGTCAGCTATTACATTGCAGTAAATATGTATTATTACAGTGTTGGTAGGAATCACAATCAGAAATGCACACATTCTGAGTGAGGTTAGCCTGGCCCAAAAGACCAAAAACGTATGTTCTCCCTCATATGTGGACATTAGATCAAGGGCAAACACAACAATGGGATTGGACTTTAAGCACATGATAAAAGTGAGAGCACACAAGGGAGGGATGAGGATAGGTAAGACACCTAAAAAATTAGCTAGCATTTGTTGCCCTTAACGCAGAGAAACTAAAGCAGATACCTTAAAGCAACCGAGGCCAATAGGAAAAGGGGACCAGGACCTAGAGAAAAGGTTAGATCAAAAAGAATTAACCTAGAAGGTAACACCCACGCACAGGAAATCAATGTGTGTCAACTCCCTGTATAGCTATCCTTATCTCAACCAGCAAAAACCCTTGTTCCTTCCTATTATTGCTTATACTCTCTCTTCAACAAAATTAGAGATAAGGGCAAAATAGTTTCTGCTGGGTATTGAGGGGGTGGCGGGAAGAAGGAGGGGGTGGAGTGGGTGATAAGGGCGGGGATGGGGGCATGGGGGAGAGATGACCCAAGCCTTGTGTGCCCATATGAATCATAAAACAATAAATAAAAAAGAAATGCACACAACATCTTGGCTATTGTGCTATTGGTAGTAATTAATCAATCTTCTCAATTCAAGATCATCTTCCTTCTTTAGATCTGGTTTTTTGGGTATCCATTTTCTTTCAAGTGATTTTGCAGAGAAACCCCTGATTGCATTTCCTCTTTATGTTTCACCACAGACAAATTTTTTAAAAAAATTTCAACACTTATGCCAACATCCCTATCAGTTTCTATGATATCACAGAATAAACTGAAGATCCGTGTGCCTTTTGGGATAGAGATTTTGTTAGCCAACAATGTTTTAGTCAACAATGTTATCATAAAATTTGCTCAGTAAAAGTTTTATAAATCTTGCTACAATGATGCCTTCCTTCCTTTCTTTAAACAGTGAAACTTCCAGGTCTCAGGACTTACGTGGACCCACATACGTATGAAGACCCTTCACAAGCGGTTCATGAGTTTGCTAAGGAATTGGACTCCGCCAACATATCCATTGACAAAGTTGTGGGAGCAGGTAACTCTCAGTGACCCTACTGTCAACCTAGAACACCTAGAGGTACAAGTTCACCTCTGTGCACACAAATGATACCTGAGCTGGCCCAGTGTCTGAGGCCTAAGTAAGTTGCTATGGAAATGCACATTTTCTGATTTCATGATCAAAGACAGACAACAAATGGAGTATTTAATGGGATGTAATTATTTCAAAGGTGCCAGACTTACAGACTCTTAGGCAATGGCTGCATTTTATTTATTGAATTTCAGAGGTGGCAGCAGCCACAGTTCAGTTTTCCTGTGGCTACACTGATCATGTGTCACAGAGCTATTTGTCTAAGTAGGGATAACATGATAAAAGTATGTCTCACTCTCTTTAAACTAGCCCAGTAATTGAAAATTTTGATTTTCAATTTTAAAATTCTCTTTGGAATTCAAAAATTAAGCATTAGAAATAAAATCTTGGTACACTTCACATAAATTTCATCACAATTCTTTTGAGAGTTTAAATAACAGAATAGTCGATTCATTTGTGTTGAATTTGTCTTTATACAGATGTATCTTTGTTCTAACCATTAATTTACTCAATTAGAAATTCATGAACAAATACCCATGGAATGATTATTTATAGAAGTTGCACTTTTCAATAAAAATTTCAGATATGGATTAAGTAGCAGTGTTTTATATACTTATACATAAAACACATGGACATCTATAATATTTGGCAGTATGCACAGCAATAAAACTAGCATTTAAAAATAGAAATGAACCGTAGTAAACAATGAAGACTTTTGTACCATAATCTCAACCATCAGTGTAATTCTTAAAACAAAACTAGTTTGTTGATAATGAAAAATTATCTCATAAATTATGCATAATTTATCAGATCACATTTTCTGAAAGTACCATGTTTATATACTTATGATTGAATCTTCTTTATATAAATGTCTATGTAATTGTCTCTGTTTTTCCTATACAAAAAAGCAGTATTTAAAATTCAAAAACTAGTTAATATGCAATAAGGACAACCTGAGTAATTCATATTATCCAAATAAAATGGTAATTTTCTTAAGCTTCTCTTCCAATGTTTGATAGTTTAGAAACTCACATGTACAAGTAGTATTAAAATACAAAACTGTTATTCATTGGAGGAAGCTAGGGTAGGTATTCTTTTTTTTACAGTCCAAAAGTCAAAAGTGTATACTTTCACTACACTTCTATGGTATTCTGGAACCAAAACAGATATTTTGGTTACTCTGTTAACAGGTATCCATTCTGTGATAGAGAATGTCTCTGTCTGTCTGGTTTTAATGTTGCCCCACAAGAGTGCACTGCCCTCCAGCATGGCAGTTGCAGCAGCGCGAGCAACACTCAGACTTTGCACAATCCACTGGTGTCTGATTAGAGGAGGAAAATCTCACTCATGCTCAACCATTGTCCAGAAAACAGACAGTGTCTTTGAGCCTTTGCGGCGCAACGGGCTAGCGCTTTTAGCTGTTAACCAAAAGGTTGGTGGTTCAAGCCCACACAGGGACACATGGTGTAACTTTCAATTCTTCCTGCCCATATTGTGAAAACGTCTTCTAGCTCAGAAAACAGACAGCTATCATCTTGATCTGGAAATACAAGACCTTCTGCATTGGTAAAAGGTATTATTTGAAGATGTTATTAATAAAGCCAGATGTCCAGAGCACAGTGTTGAGAGGCAAAGCAAACTCATTAAAAAATGGTATCTGATAAATGAGATAGGGTGAGGGTCTACTTGTATTGACTCATTAGTAATTCCTGATGCTCATGAAAGATTAGAACAGATCCTCTTTGTCCTTTTTCTCTTAAATCATATTCATAAATAATTATGCCTACAGTTCCTATTTAAGTTTTTGTAGTCAATACTCTTATTTGCTACATTGTGAACAATAAAGCTGTACCTATACATGTGTGTTACTTCTGGAAGAATTCAACAGACTATGCACATACAATTTTAACTAGTCTTTTCAATTTCAACCCTGTATTCAGAGGCTTTCTTATTAGCAAGGATAGAATATGGAATCCGGAGTTTAAAAGCTACTGTTTTATAAATGTTTTGTAACATTTAAAACATGTGCAAGCATAGATGAGATAGAATAGTAAATGTAAATGCTTGACAAGTACTATCTAGCTACACTGCATCCCAGACCCTATAATAAACTTCTTCATCAATATACTTACTTAATTTCCACATCCTTTTTAGTTTTTAAAAATAATTCAATGTTATTCATGAAAGTTTAATATTCACAATAAATTGATCTCCCATTGTTAGAAAGGCTAACCCTGTTAGGTGATGACAGAATTGTGTTCTCTCAGTCTGCTTTTTTTAAGTATTAAAAAGGGAATTTAATTAATATTTGACATTATTATATCTTGTTGGTGACCATTTCTAGACTTTAGCTGATGAAGTAACCATATTACTAAATTAAAAAACATTAACATTACTGAAACACCATTCTGAAGGTATTTATTCACATATACGTACACAGGAACCCCACTTAAAACATACTCGGCTCACTTGAAATTTGAACTCACTCTTAATCTTCCCAGTAGATTACTCTTAGAAAAGCTTTCCTTTCTAAATACTTGTCCAATATGACGTGAACCTCGTTATCACCATCATCACCATAACTGTCTTTTAATAATACAGAATTAAACAGCTTAAAAAGTATTTTTATATTCATTTGTCAATTAAATCTAAACAGAAGCTCTTAAAAGGTGGATAGATAATTTAACCTTTGTAAGGTGTACCTGAACTCAGAGAGATAAAAAATGGCTAACACTTAGATGTTACTTACTATGTGTTCAATGCTGTTTCAAATGCCTTGCATGTATTAAGTTCTTTCACTGCACAACAGCCTTATGTGGTAGAGACATTTTGCTTTATAGATAAGGCAATGGAGGCCCAGAGAAGTTAAGAGATTCTCTTAAAAAATCACAAAACTGTTAAGTAACAGAGCAAGAATTACACTCTAAGCAGTTTGGCTCCAGGATTCATGCTCCTAACCACAGCTCTGCACTATCTCTTCTATAAACAGACAAATATGTCACTAAGTGGTGATGGCATCTGAATTTAAAACAGGATCCTTTGTATCATGTTGGCACATGAGAATGGCAAAACTTTCAGAAAATTAAAGTTCATTATAGATGCCTCTTTATGGTTAGCTCAAACTTAATGTTTACACAAAGTGAACTGTAGCTGCCTGGCAATGTTCACATAACCCTGTGCGAGAAAAGAAACTCTTACTGTGGCTTTAAACTCTAATCTTGCATCATAACTTCTCCTAATATTCTCACATCTGCAATGACGTATTCTGACTTAGATTTAGCAAAATTAGTGAATTTTGTTCTCCCTGTAATCCTAAATACATTATAGCTGTAGGAGACATTGTTATCTTTTCTTTACTTCCTCATAAAAAAAAAAAAAAAACTAGTTTTGATTTGTGTACCACCATGTCTCTGTGGGTTTCATAGTGTCTGCCCAACTGCTGCCAGTTGATGAGTATTTGTTAAATAAGTTCATGAGCTTTTGCTTTTGGTCTTAAGGTGACTTGGCCAAGTTGTAGCATAAGTCATTGTTTCAGAGACAACAGCAAGATGATTTCTGAGAAAAGATCAAGTCAGGGGGAGGTGAGAGCTTCCTAGAGAGATTCAAGTCATCTTTTTTCATGCAGCTGATAAATCAATGGGACAACGTGCTATATTTGTGGGTCAAACCACTTACCTGGAAAAAATAGCTATGGAATCAGCTCACATTTCCCTGAATAACATATAGGGCATGGAAGTCAGTGAAAACTATAGTGACATTAGACTAAGAATAGTATTTTATTCCATAGAAAAGCAATTTTAATTACATAATTAGTCCCAGAATGCTTTTGGAAAAAAAAAGCTCTCGTCTGGTATTAAAACCTATTTTTTTTAAAAAATGTGGTACATATAGACCCAACAATTCATGCACTAAATACTTGGAATTCTTCTGTGAATAAGGAATATTCTATGGGTGGCACTACTTCATAACAATTATTATGGCAGCTGTAAGGACAGAGAAATGGAATGGTAAAGGTCTCTGCTCTAAGGTAGCTCAAAATCTGATGAAAGACTGGTGGGAAAATCTTCTCAATAATAATACCTGTTGAAGATAGTGTCTATGTAGTTCTAGACAATTTCAATTGATTGAGCTAAAATATTTAAAAGTCAGCAAAACTCCATATTCAATAGCTTCTGGACAACTATTTTATTGAGGACATTGAATCTAAGAAAAATATTTCAACAATGATCCTTTAGACGAAACAGACTGTTTCATTTGATACTCTTATACCATTGTTGTCCTCCTAGAAGCCCAGAGAACTTTATAGCCAGAATGAAAATAATGCAACAAACCAATACTCCAATAAAATAAATTGATACCAGATGTTTTCATTCTCATTTTCAGAGAATCTGAGCCCATAGCCAAATTGGCCTTCATAGTAAAAGTAGAATAGTTAAAAACATCTTTTACTTAATCCAATGTTCAACCTGTAATATCTGTACTGGCCTGTTGATTACCCTGAAATAATGTCAGCTATTAGAAAAGGATTGAAAAGTCTGATAGATGCAGCTTTCAACTTCCCTCTTGTTTTCTTCCTATTGCATTTTTCATAGTGTGGTACCTAAAAACATATGGAGATTCTCAAAATGTCTATTTTCTACTGGGATGTAACTGCTTTGGGGTTTTCTAGCAGTCTTATATTACCATCTTCCAAAATAACTTAGAATCCTACAATGTACATTTTGTAGGTCAAGAGGATAAATGTTTTAATGGAATTTTTAAAAAGAAAGAGTTTCTTTTGTGGATAAATTTTTGTTATATATTCTCTTGTATTGTGTTATTCTTCTTCATTCTAACAGGTGAATTTGGAGAGGTGTGCAGTGGCCGCTTAAAACTTCCTTCCAAAAAAGAGATTTCAGTGGCTATTAAGACTCTGAAAGTAGGTTACACAGAGAAACAGAGGAGAGATTTTCTGGGAGAAGCAAGCATTATGGGACAGTTTGACCATCCCAATATCATTCGGCTGGAAGGAGTTGTAACTAAAAGTAAGTAAAGTCATTTCAGAATATTGATCTTTTTTCTTAGGTATCATCAGTTCTAACAGAAGGATCAGTTTAGGTTTATAAAGAATTTCTTTGAGAATAAAGAAAATACATTTAACTGGTACTATATTGGCAATTGTCGCTTAGATCTTTAAAAATTTTTGAATTTTGATGTTAGACATTTGAGTAAGACATTGGACTATTTAAATATATGCTCATTGTAAAGAAGAGAATTATGGAGAATGTTCTGTTAGGTGGAGTAGCAATGACTTAGTTTTGACAGGAACTCCCAGCTAGCTACCTTTTCTTTTATAGTTCACCAACTTCATTTAAGCTCCCAAATCTTTACCCTCTTTGCCCTCCCTGTCTTCAGGAAAATTATAGGAATCTTGAGAATGCTTCTGAGCTGTAAAGATGGGAATCACAGTAGACTCCAGGCTTCTTTTTTTCTTCTTCTTCTTCTCTGTGGATTTAAAATAGTTGTGATCTGAGTTCCCAGGTGGATTCTTGACTGCTCTGGGGAAGCTCTGGCTCACAGCCCATGATAGAGACCTGAATTTATTTGCATGATGGTTTCTCCAGCCAAGCTCAAAAGGGATCTTGTGAGGCAGATCTGTGATTTTTGGCTCCAATTCCAATGAAAACCTCTTGAGAATGCTCTGGGACCTTTTTTTTTTTTTTTCCTCCTCAAGATTTTGGAGCACAGGATGAAGAATAAGTGAAATTGGCAGCAAATTCCAAACAGTGAAAGACAACATATGGCAGAAAATTTGGTATCCTTTAGGGAATAAGTCATTGGCACTGCATTTGCATACTCTATGGTTACCAGCAGACAGTACTCATATTTTTCTCAATGTTATTCTTTTTTTAACATTACATATAGCACTTTCCAAATGACTCTAATACCTCTTCTCATTTTAATGTGATTGAAAGGGCATTTCCTTCTTCATGAGAAGATGGTATAATTGAAATATACTTTGATTTTCTTTTGAGTAAAAATAAATAGAATTAAACCTTAATGTAAAACAATTTAAACTGATACAGTATTCCCATGTTACATCTTTTAAAAAGTATTTTATTTCTTCCCTCTGTACTCTTAAAAATCAGGCCATATTAATAGTGATGGTGAAATATTTTTGGATGAAAAACATCTTTTTCATTTTTAAGTTAATAATAGGTAAAAACACTAAACGTCAATAAGAAGAATTAGGAAAATGCATGAATTCATTGTTCCTTCAGAAAAAGACCATAGGCATTTTATGTCTATAGAGTTATAGTGTCACATTTTACTGGACATCTAATGTCATTTAGACATTTAATTCATCCATGACATACTGATCCAGAGATTGCCCTTCAGATATGGAACTTCACTGGGGAGAGAAAATTATTCGTACATATCTAGCCAAACTTTTAACTCTCAGTCTTCACAATGAGCATTTCTTATCTTCCTTTATAAAGTGCCTATTATTTTCTTGACTTTGTTCTGTGGCATAATTCACTGTCATTACTATCCTGTGAGTTAGATATGATCACTTCCTTTTTACATTTGATCAAATAACTGTAAAACATAAATAGCTTGTCTAAATAGAAAGTGCTAGACATAGTATAGAGAATTTGTTCTCTCAGCTCTCTCCCCATATCTGGACAAAACCAGATTTCCATGTTTTATACTCACATTCCACTTATTCCTTTACTTCTTGATATAAAAGAAAGTTCCTAACAACTAGATCATAGCAAAGCATTCTTCATGCTTTAAAGTTTTTGGAGATAAGTAATCACTGCTAAACCTAAAACAAAATATAAGTTCTCAAAGTGACTAAAATAGAATCTGAATCACAGCAAATTCTTAATTTACTACCACGGAGGAATCAAGCGTTGATTGAATAAATGAAGGAGGAAAGAAGAAAGAAAGGGAGGTAGGAAGGGAAGAAAGAAGCAGTATCTTCTATCAATAGGACTTCTTTCAGTGTTTATGTCATTAAATTGAATGTATTTTTCAAAGAAGTGAAATTACATAACTGCTTTCATTACCCAGGGAGTGATGGACAAATTGACTACATTTTAACTTGAACAGAATCATCACATAACTTCTCCAAAATGTACAAGTAAGAAAAAATAGGTTAGAGTTGTTAACAAACTACATATTAGGCTTAAATTTAAGTTTACTTATAGGTTTTATTATTTTATTCAACATGAGTTAATTCTTTCTTTCCAGTACTATGAATTAAGAGCAACCAATTACATTTTGCTATTTCCTATGAGTATATTTACTGAATGATAAACAACATTAAACCATAATTATCATGCCAAATTTCCCTTAGATATAAAAATAAAATAATTAAATGTGGTTGTGGTAAGGAAGAAAATCTGTAAAACCATCCTTAAGAGAAAAATGTAGAAAAGAATTCATTAAGAAAAACTGAAACCTTTAAAAACTGCAATATCACACATTAAACATCTTAATCAAATCTAATTCTGTAGGATTCTGATATGGATTACAACTGCCTGAGTCTTAGAGTGAGAATTCTAAATTTGATATATCTCCCTGGCCAAATAAGTATGTAAGAACCTGCCAAACCTGACTATATAAATCCCAGTCATCTCATATATTGTGAAATATTGTGAACATAATAGAGTAGTAGTCCTAGAATTAGATTTTGAAATCCTCAGTGTCATATTTAAAAATCTAAGTCTAGCACTCTATTATAACAGAAAGGAAATAGAAACTCCCTATAACAAAATTAATATGTTGCATTTAATACATAAATATGAAAAATATATCTCTAAAAGAAGTTATTTATTTTACTCCTATGATTTTGGCTTCTAAAAGTATTTGACTTCCAAAGTAATCTACCTACATAATCCAGATACACATGTAAACACACATGTACACACATACATACAAGTAGATTGACACAGAACTTATAATTTAATTAACAAAATTATATTTCAAAAGGAAAAACAAGCATATCAGTATTTATGTTAAGAATCAAATTCTGACCTAGACTTACTGATTGTGAGATCCCTTGTAAATTAAACTTCACATATACATATAATTTAATGAATAAAATTTTATTTCAAAAGGAAAGACAAACATTGGTGTCTAGTCAGTGGATCTGAGATCAAATTCTCACTCAGTATTATTGATTATGAAGCCTCTTGAAAATTAAACCACTCACAGATGCATACTATTGCCATAGAATTAACAGCACTACCTGTTATTTTCAGTCTTTAAAATCCAATGAGATTATATAAGTATTCATCACCAAATAATTCTGAAAATAAAAATGACTACTTCTGGTTTATATGAGAGATTACTAGTTAATCTGGGTATGTAAAAGAAAATTCTTGAAAAAAGTCTTTTTATCCCTTTCTTTTTATTATTGCTATTAATTGTGTGCTTACAAACATTGGATCTATTATAATACATCACTTTCAAATCATTTGGAAAAAAGTCTTTATGCAATCATTATTTTTCATTTATTTGAATTGAGCCATAAACAATGTTAATGGTATGTTGTGAGCCTGAAGGTCTTAAACAAGAGAAGGTGATAGAGTCTCTGATCTTCAAAATAGCAGAAACCTCAGGGCACCGCCTCTGCTCAGAACTAGGTACTAACATGTGTTATCAATTTTAGTTAATGTTCAAAAGGAGGAAACTTGGTTTTAGCAAATGTTTGATATTTCTGCCATCACACCATTAGTTAAATGATGTTCTGACTCCAACAATAATTTTCATTGGCAACATGTTAACTAGTGAAATAGAAGGAAATATACTGGATGAGGAATTATACTGGCTGATGTGTTATCTTCTTGGAATATTTTCTGGAAATTAAAAACCACCATGCAAATCAGCTACAATTTTGCATCATTGAAGAATGTCATGAACAAACCAGTGAGAGGATTTCTCATAGTTAAAACATACCTGTCTTCACGTGACCAGCTGTGTTGCACCAAAAGCTTAGACAGTATTGTGTACTTTCTTATTCCCTGAACAAAGGATAAGGAAACATTTCTGGGATAAAATGTCATACTTTATTAACAATGCCAAATCCTTGTTATTTCTTCTTTGTTTCTTTCTAAAAGTTTTCTTCTGAACTCGCCTCAAGAGATCTATATTCCATGTGATATTCTTGATAGACAATACATATGTGGTATTTATTTTACTAATTATAGAAATAGTTTTCCAGGATAACCAATTTTGGAAACTCTGATGACACACATTTTTAATCAGACATTCATGATCACAAATTGAGGAATGAGTTCAGAACATGTCTATATGGTCATACCACCACAATTAGGACAATCTCTGTTCAATATATTGTAGAAAATAGGAGAGTGGAAGTGGAAGCTATTTTAGCAAGGTTAAAAAAATTTTGTTTCATTTTTATTGTCAACTTATGTCTCTTGCATTAATTGGCCACATTTGAATTATAAAAGATGTGATATTGCATATTTCCTCATTTACATAGATAGGATAGTTTTCTGATATTTTTAAAAGATTAAATTCAACTTAGAAAATTTGTTAGAGCATGATTTTCATTGTACCCAAAGACTGCCTTTTGTAGAACACTAGGTTATACATACAGCAACTGTTCTAAAAGAAGAAGAAATATAATGATATGACAGTTTAGTAGCTGTCTCAGTAATTCTGCTTTTACACAAACTTTAACAGAAAGGAAGAAAATGAAACCCTTCTCATTCATAAGGCTAGTAATATCTTGATACCTTACTGTTCAATGGATAACATAGTAAAAGTAAAGGTCATAATGGTACATGAAAAAAAGCCACCACAATATAGTAATTATAAAGCCTTATCTAGCAATGTGAAAAATAATATAGTACACCAAGTGCAAGTTTAGTTTATTCCAAAAATACAAAGTTGGTTTAATGCTTATTAATTTCAAATATTCATATTAACAGATATGAAGAAAAAAATCTCAATAAGTTAAAAAAATTAAAAATTAATTTAAAAATTATAATTATATCATACATAGAAAATTTGTGTGGCAAATAAAGTTTTGGTCAGTTCTACCAAAATAATACCAAACAAACCTACAAATGTCATTTTAGATGGTGAAACATTAATGGTATTTCTTTTAAGTAACAAGAAGCTTCCTATCATCATTTCAATTCAGCATTATATTTGTGATATTAAACATTCCAAATAGATCAGAAAAAATAAAGGCTAGAAAATTTTAAACAGTTAATAACAAAGCTGACTTTGTAAAATCAAAATAAGCACATTCAGGTTGCTATATTCATTAATAAAATACAATTCTTTTAATCAAAAATATTAAATTTTGTTTTGAGTTACAGGTAGATAAATAAAAATCTTTAATATCAGCTGAATGTAAAGATTCTATGTGTTGCCAGCAGAGGCAAGAGAATTTTTCAGAGGCCAGAGAATTTTGAAGTAAAGGCCAGCCTGAGCTTCAGAGTGAGACCCTATCTCCAAATACTAAACCAAACCAAAAAACAAAACAAAAAAAACCCATACATGTTCCATGTATTAAGATTAAGAGAATAGTTGGTTAAGGAAGAGTTGGAAAAGTTTCTCAACCTTATTTTGAAGAAAGGAATTATCTTTAACCAGCCTCAAATAAGGGACCTAATTTAATCAATTGTACCTGACCCACTGCTATGTCATGGAATTAGAACTGCTGATGAAAACCTTCTGTCTTGTGAATAGTGAGGTGAATTTTGTCAAATTTGTTCAACTTTCCTCTCCTTGTCTCTTTTTTCTTTTTCTTTTCTTTTTTATTCTTTTTTACTTCCAGTCTAATTCTGAGTACATAGTATTAATAAAAAACTGCTATCTGCTAAGCATAATGGTTTTTGATTTTATGTCATACTAATGTATAAAAGTTTGTTTAAATTTTTTGAAAATAAGATATAGAGTGTTAGACACAATTACTATGGTAAATAGGTGTTAGTATTTCAATTTGAAAATGAACCACACTGGTATAACTTGAAATATTTTAAATAATTGACAAATGTTTTTTGTTAAATGTAAATATTTTCATCTAAGAACCAACATTTGAAATTTATAAAAAAAATATTCCTTAATCACATCATCCTACTGTTCTTTTACGGAAAATGTGATAATAAAGTAGGTGGTGAAGTAGCCAGTACTGACTCTGGAATTCTTAGACATTTTGAATCACATTTACTGTCATCAAGCAGTGATTCAACAATTAGTATTATCTCTGAGACACTGGGAATAGCTGGGGAAATGAACTGATCACAACAAACCAATTTCCTTCCCTTAACTCTGTTACTGTGAAAGCTCACCATCTTTTTCTATATTCATAAATCAATTTAAGAACAAAGGTAAAACTCCACTGAAAATTTTGTTTACTAATTCTTGGTGGAGTTTCATTTCAGCCAGTCATTGAACAGTACTTCCGTTGGGTTTAGTGTGTGTACACAGCTCTGTTTTGAGGTCTTTGATGGCAGTGAATGCTTTAGGCTCTATTTTGAGGATGCATGTCAAGCCATTTGTAAATCAAAATGAACATGAACATGAAAGACTATGCAAACTTAAGTACCAATGCACTGCAGAATATGCAGATGAGCAGACATTTTATAGATAATTTCCCACTACATTTAATGCATGTTAGAACTAATTCTCACCACTATTCTTGAGCCTCTTTTTCTTTAACTTTATTTATCAAAATCAAGATCACAGGGAAACTCTAAGTTCAAATACTGCTTTCCAAGGAATATTGGTGATTCTGTTTACTCTTCATCTGTACATTTGGTTTGCTGAATCTTTGAACTTAATACAAAGCACATTTTCAGACTTGCCCATCTTAACTGAAGTGTTTACAAATACCTAAATTACAGAGTTAAAGGCAGCCTGATCTTGTTTCTGAATGGTCATGGGGCTTTGACTTAATTGACTGGTTTGATTTTTTAGCTACTTTTATTTCCCTTGCCAAACATTTTACTAGACATGCTAATGAGAAATGAAATGGTCATAAGGCTGAGAGCCAGAGGTCTGAATAGTACAAAATTCAGTATTGGCAGTGGGAGGCAAAATATGTGTGACTACTTTTGCAGTATGCATTGAATTATGGTTTTCTTTGTTTTGATTTTTTTTATTACTGTTGTGCTGGGTGGGTATACATTGGAGTATTTACAAAGGTTCTTGCAACGTATAAAATATATCATACTTGAGTTCTTATTTTTCCCAGAATTATATTAAGGAAGAAACACTGAGCTTCAGAAAATATGCATATGCAGTATTTCATTGATTCACTCATTCATTTTATTCCAGGCCAGCTCTCCAAAAAGCAATTTAAGAGGGATACATTCAAATTACCAAATATGGTAAAGATAACCTTCACACTACTAATCCATAATTCACAACTAGCACAAACCATAAATTTTGTATGTAAAAGGAAAGGAAGCTTTTTTCTAGCATCAAAATGGCAAACTAATGTTCATGACAGAGGGTATTCAAGAGGAAATTAATAATTGTATTACACAGTTAGATGGACATGGATATTTGTTTAAAAATCTATTACATATTCAAGAACTTTCAATAGTACTCAGTTATGACTTAACTCATGTCTTATGGACTGAAAGAAGAGTTATTTTCCCTTTTATAGAATGAAAAATTTGCAATTAAGACATTGTAAATAATAAAGTTGGAGAATTATAATGTGATAATATGCATATAGGTTTAAATCAAGGAGAGCTGTATTGGTGATCTGCTTAACTATTAAGTTGTGACTCAACAAGTTGCTTAAATTCACAATGCTCTTCATTGAGAAATAAGTAAAATGGGAATAATCTATACTACTATATCATAAGGAAGCTATGAGAAGTGATATAGCATGTTAAGTAAGGCAATATTACATAATTCTAATGATGGAAAAAATACTAGTATTCTCTGTATATCAGGGATATCCATTTTCAGATTTCTTTTTCTTTCTGAAATGTTTGTGTTTCTCTACTCATTTTCTTAGTTGTCACCATAATGTGTCTATATTTTCAGCTTTATTCATATAACATTATACTGTAACAATTGCCTTAAATGCTACAGTCCTCAGTCTTTTTAATTCAGACTAGCCCTTAGAACTTACAAGCAGCAATTGACCAAACCATTACCTATTGTTGAGCATTTATTCATTTGAAGCCCTCTAGATAATGTATACTTAGCATCTTTTGTGTTTGTTTTGTCATTTATAGTTTACCTTAGTGACAACACTGTGTGTGTAGGTTGCAACTCTTCACTTTATAACTTGTCCACTGTATTATATTAAGGAAATTAATTAACCTTGATATCTCAATTCTCTCATGAGTAAAATGGAAATGATAATTTATAAGTAATATAGATACATATATAATAAACCAGTAATTTACATGTAGTAATTGCTATATAAATACACTGCAATGATGGATTAAATGGTTTAATCATATTTTAGACCACATATTTCCAAAACAATTATTATAAATTACTGCCTTCAACAATTTTAACTTTAGTTTTATTTTCTTTTCAAATATAACATGGGTTTTATAATTTTAAATTACTGAATATAAGCAAAAATACTATGTTACTCTTGTTTCCTTCATCTCTCTTGTATAATCCATAAGTGTAGTGAATTTGATTTACTTACAACTGACTAAAGATCTCAGAAGGGAGCACCTGACACAGCTCTATAAATATTTACAGATGGAATATGAATGAATGTTGAGTTCTTGCTGCTATGTTAGACTTAACGACAAAATACTTGATTTAAAAAATTAACTAAGGTGCAGTTAACTGGAGAAAAGAGATATGTTTCGACATCGTACATCCACTGGAAACCAAATAAGCCAAGTTAGATAATGTAGGGTATGGGCCTTCATTCTGGAGAACCAGTTTTCTATATATCTTTTTAAAGTTTCATTTCTAATGAAACCTAGGATCTTTTTCTTTTAGGTAATTTTTTTATTGTTGTGCTGGGAGTACATTGTGGCATTTACAAAAGTTCTTACAATAAATCATACTTGAGTTCACTCCCTCCATCATTCTCCTTCTTCCCCTTTTTCCCCCAGTCCTGAAATAGCTTCAACAAGTCTCATTTTTCCATTTTCATACATGTGCACACAGTATTTGTTTTTTTCTAATTGTACTTTGTAAAATTTAGACAAGGAAATATCTTACATCTTTGTTTTCATTAGATGTGTCAAAGTGTATTGTATATAAATTCATTATATGATATTGTTAAACTGCATTGATAATTATATATTTATCATTTACCATGTCCATAGGCAAGCCAGTTATGATTGTCACAGAATACATGGAGAATGGCTCTTTGGACAGTTTCTTACGTGTAAGTAAAATATATGCCTGTGTGTACATATGTGCACATAAGTGTTTATAAATGAGACATTGAAAATGTGAGAGATGCCTTTAATATTGTGCAAGCAATTAGGTAATCTAAACTTCAAGTCAAAATGAAAATTTCTGAAGCTGAATAACAAGGGAAAACCTGTAAATCTGCACCTTTGTCATGTAGCATCCAAATGTGAATGGTTTATATATTTAAAACAAATTTGTGTAATCTTCTGATATTTTTTCATTGCAAAGATTCACACCAATGACATAAAACTAAAGATAAGACATAATCCTAAAGCAAATATCCCCTTTTCTTTATTCAAAGTAACCTCAATATTTTATAAGATAGACCATCCACATAGTGCTGTCCACTCAGAAACTAAGTATGTGTGGTAATGTTGAAGTATGCATATTTGCAATCAAGGAATATCATTTTAGCTATATACATGTATATATTCTTTATATTTACAAGTTTTATATTTGAATAAACTTAATACATCACACTTTAATATAGTTTAGGAAACATTATGTTCAAAAAAATATAAAAATTGTATGGCACTCAAGACATCGCCAATCACAAGTAATTCTAGAGGAAAAGAAAAGATATACCCCTGTCCCCAAGGTACTTTTAAACTATATAAATTGAGATAGACAGATGACAGATAACTAGATAGATAAATCCATAATATATGTAGCATCATTTATTATCATGGAGGATAATTTTAAACTTTCTAAGAATGAGAAATTATTTTAACATTCATAAACTGAAAAAATTTTAGTAGTAATTATTTTTACAGATTTCAAAAACACTTTCCAAATTAGGTGACTTCAATTATTATAATAAATATTAATTTAAAATTATTGTTTTTATAGATATGAAATATAGTATTTAACACATTATGTGTACATTATAAACCATATATTTTTACTTAAATACAAATGGATTAGAAAGTTTTTTAAATAAGAACTTTGTCTCTATGTCTTTGTCTCTATTTTATGACTCACCTCACGGTTGGGCAAAGGCACAAAAATTAATAAATATTTTTACCAATTCTGAGCTAAGTATTTATGTTGACAATTTAAAAATATAGTATCTACCTTATTTGAAGCAAGTCATAAAAGATCAGGTACCAAGAAAGAACAACAAAAATTTAATCAAACAAATAAATATCAACATGACATAGTCACAAGACCCATTTTATTTGTTTGTTCTTGCATCTGAGAAGAAGCTTGCATATCATATAAAGATTAGGAAAGTCCTACTTGTGAGCTTAATTCTGATTACACAATACTCTAGTTGGTAATACATCTACTTGGTAATTGTGTATGAAATTTTATTTTATTCTTGTATCCATTTATACACAGATCTTGATAGCTTTGAGCACTTTGAGGTAAAATCTGTACAGTCAGCTTGTTACAAATTTTATGTGATTTTAAAGAAAAGCAGAAGATATATTTCTAGTCTCTATAATATATATATCTTGATATATATATTCTACATTGGATATGCTTTCTAGAAACATGATGCCCAGTTTACAGTCATCCAACTGGTGGGGATGCTTCGCGGAATAGCCTCTGGCATGAAGTACCTGTCAGATATGGGCTATGTTCACCGAGACCTTGCTGCTCGGAACATCCTGATCAACAGTAACTTGGTGTGTAAGGTTTCTGATTTTGGACTTTCGCGTGTTCTAGAGGATGACCCAGAAGCTGCTTACACAACCAGAGTAAGTAACACAAATTCATCTCTTATCTTTGTGTTCCATCATGTAACACATGAACTGATAAATAAGGAGAAATGGTGAGTCAAAGTGCTGTGTCATTATGCTTTCCACAAAAGGAAGTATTTCTTAAAATTAAAATATCATTACTTATTTTGAGAAACATAAGTGGTAACTATTTAAAAGGTGAGTATTGATTTTAGTTCTATAACACTTAGTTTTATGACCCCCCTCTAAAAAAAAAAAAAAGCAAGGTTCTCGCCTAAATTGATGTTTTTGTGTTTACCCATCTTTTCATCATGGTGGAGTCACCTTTAGCAAGCACGTTCGATAAATTTGCAGGATACCCATTCTACTAGATTAATTTTAAAGTTTTTTTACATCAGCATTTACATAAGTAACACATCATGTTCATATGATAAAAATATCTAGGCAGGTCAGGAATGGCGATATATGCCTGTAATCCTCGCAACTTGGGAGGTGGAGGCAGGAGGACCAAGCGTTTTAAGCTAGTTTAAGCAAAGTTATCAACATCCTTTCTCACATACAAAAAGCAGTAGGCCTGGGGGTGAATCTGAAATGTAGAGCACTAGTCTCACATGTGTGAGGCCATGGGTTCAATGACCAGTACTAAAAAAATGAAGTCAAAACAAAAGTTAGGAGAAAAGTTGTCCATAATTTTGCCACCTCCAGGTAACATTCATGTTTGTGAATCCACTCTTCTAGATTTTTCTTCATGCCTTTATATACAAATATATGCATGAATGCGTTACTAAAATAGGTGATTCTGATTCTGCCATTCTTTTAATAATGACATCTTCTCCAAGTATTTACCCCTTGAGTGTATTTCTTTGTTAATAAATAAACCTTGTTTTCATTTTTAGCAGCTTTTGATGTATTCTGTTTTCAGTTTGTACCATTTTGAAAGCCAATAATAATTAGTGATCACATATTATTTTGTCTAATATTTCTGTGTTTTAGACAAATGTATAAATGATCCATCTGCATTCACAATTATGGGTCTGCTGATTTCCTTCTGATATACTTCTAAAAGTGGGTTTTCTGTGTTAAACACTTTTTTGTCTTATTTTAAAAGTACACTTCATTACACTCTTGATAAAACTAAGTATTATAGTTTTTGATATTTGGTTATCGGTTAGGATAAATTGTATCTAATTGTCTTAATTTGCATCCATTTGATTCAAAATGCATTTGAATATTTCTTTATTCTTTTGAAATCTCATTTCTTTGTATATTTTTGGGATAGAAAATTTAGAAAATAGAAATACAGAAAATGTAAAGATAACAGAAATTAAAGGTAATTATTAATGAATAATCATACTACCCAAGGTTATAGGCATCAACATTTAACTTTATCCTTTAAAAATATTTTCTAATACATTTTCATGTATAAATAATTCCTATTTTTGCATATAATTACAAAAACAGATCCTACCATATAAGCTGACATATACAGTAATTTCAACTTATCAGTAAATCCAGTGTTTTCATTATATATAAATTCAATGTTATTTTGAAATCTTCTTTTTAAGCAAAAATATAAGGTACAGAATTTTCCATTTATTAAATGTTCTCTTAAAATGTCACTTAATAATCTCTGGCATTTCATTTTATTCAAATAAATTATTTATTTACTTAATTCGCTATTATTAAGCAGAATTCCAATGTTTATAATAATACTATTTTGAGGCATGTTTTGACATACAGTTCATCTCTATGATTACCTCTTCAGGGTAGATATCTAGAATTTAAACTGTTTGATCAAAATATGAAAATATGTGAAGACTTTGGAATTTGAATTGCATAATTCTCTTTGATATATTTAACTTGTTGCCTTAATTATAATAGTGTCCTTTTATCTACAAATAATACTGAATCATATATATATATACATATATATATATATTCTAAGTTGAGAACTTTCAACTTTTAACCTAAAAGAATTGATTTATGATGCTGTTTTACCAGTCTTCATTGCTCACAGCACTCCTCTTAACATCATTATTAAGTAAAATAAGGATTACTAGAACACAACACTAGGATGGCATGACAGTTGATGTGGTAACCTTGAAAGCTTTGAAGATGTGCAGCGTGGTTACAGGGGACAGAGAAATCATTAACATTTCAGGTTGATCAGAGCAGAAGGGTACTGAGAATTCATCGTGATGCTCAGAATGGCATACAATTTAAAACATTTGAATTGCTTATTTCTGGAATTTTCCATGTAGTATTTTCCAGGTAACTGAAACCACAGAAAGTAAAATGTGGAAAGTGGGGAGATGTCTACTGTAGAAAAAATAGCTTCTATCTTCTTCCTCCATACTTTCACAAGTCAAGAGAATGGATAGTTTTTAAAGACAGTGAATTCCTATTTTCTTATCATATTCTGAAAGTTGATTCTTGACTTAAAAATAATCATTCTTTTCAGCAATTATCCATGTTGACAGCCAATTAGCAATCACCAATACTATCAAGTAACATATATATCATACTCTGAGGAAAAGATTAATTTGTGAGGCTGAATTTTTCCTAAGGTAAAGCAGTAGTGGTAGAACCACAGAAATACAGTAGCATATTCCTAGATGATTTCAGAGTTGGGACTCTTTTGATGGCCTTATATATTACACTCTTTTAGCCTTTTCTATTTAAAATTATACAGTACAGATTGACTTTGTTAGTGAATCTTAAGAATTTTTAAAAATGTTTCCTACATTTCAGGCAAGTTGAATGCATTTACAACTAACTCTGAACACTTGATGAAATATCTGTGCTTGTGAAATGTTTCTTCTTTGATCTCCACAAAACTCAATTAGTCAAAGCATCTTTTTTTAACTACACTATCATACCAGAAAATAGTATATGCACTAAGAAATTATTTTCCCAAGAAATGTCTTTATTCTCCTTACTACTACTATACTTTCTAAAGATATTCTTCACAAGCTTCTGCTATGCTATGAGCTTCCAACATAGTTCCACGAAAAGTATCATGCTTGTTTGCCCTTTTCTTTTTTGTTATGAAAGTCTCTCTCTCTCTCTCTCTCTCTCTCTCTCTCTCTCTCTCTCTCTCTCTCTCTCTCTCTCTCCCTCTCTCTCTCTCTCTCTCTCTCTATCTCTTTCTCTCTCTCTCTCCCTTCTGGCAGCTCTGAAGTTTGAACTCAGGGCCTCAAATTTACTAGGCAGGCGCTCTTATAGCTTGAACTACTCCACCAACCCGCAAACTATTTACCAAGGCTGACTTCGAACCATGATCCGTCTGCTCTCTGCCTTTTGAGTAGCTAGGATTACAGGCATGAGCTACTGGCTCCTGGCGCAACAGTCTCTTTATTCAAAAAATATTTCAAAATGTATTTTCTCTTCATTCAAAAAGTACATTTGGTGTAAAAGCCTTATATTTGAAATAAGTTCAAATTATTTCACCTTACTGTTCAGTCAGGTTCTAGTCTTTAGGCCACATCCATTTATTAAATGAAAGCATCCTTGCTGTGTCAAAATTCTTTCTCAACATTTCTGAAAGAAAAATGCAGTGGACTCTGTATTGATATTTTAGTCTCAGGAGATTTTGAAAACCACACCAACCAATTGTGTTACCCTTGCATTCTGTTGGAACTCTCTCAAAATATCTGTGGTGGTCCTGATACATTGTTAGAGTAATTTGGAAATCAATGATTTAATCTCCCATAATAAGCCTTGTTTAGTACAGTAATTTTATAATTTACTCTAAAAATGAGATTATCAAGTAACAGAGCTCTTTTTTTTTTTTAAGTAAACACACTGAACCAGCTGAGTTGCCATTCTAAGTTGTCATATTGAGAATGGGTACTTACTTCAAGAACACTTGCAAAATGTTATTGCGAAAATGCTTTGATAATTCTACTTTTTGAAATTATGTGATTGTGACTGATAGCATTTATCAAAATTATTTAAACATATAGTATTTGGGGAAATAGACTTGACTGAGTTAAAAGTTTCTTCTAATAAATAAGAAAACTAGTCTATTATTGCACATTTACTGAAATTGATTTGTTTTACTAACCAAAACCAGTGTTATCCATGTTAAAAATCTATCTTACTTAATTAGTTAAGTAAATTTTGATTATGGTTATTTTAGAAAAAACAAGGTCATATTTAAACAGGAGTAGTCATTGTTTCTGAATAAACATTCTAATTAATTTGCTTTTCACCTGGTGTCTAGAGTTTCTACAATTCAGAAATTAGCATTCAGTGTTTCAGTGCATTAAGCTTTTCCTTGTCACTCCTCTGAAATTGCCTTTAGGTAGAAAGTATTTGCAAGAAGAAATCCTGAGTGGCATTTGATTCAATGACTTAGATGTAGGGTCTCTGCTGCTCCATCTTTAAAACATGTATGGGAACAACAGGCAGAATAGAAGACTAGTATAGAATTTATATCTACTAATTGTGTATTTAAAAATCTTAAACTAGAGAGAGTATGTGAGGAATTGAGGAAACATTTGACCCCAAAACTTGAAACAATTTAGCAACATTTTCCCAGTCTGCTTTCTATTCTGTTTTAAGTATGTGAAGTTTTCCTCCCTTATGTCCTCAAGGGTTTGCCTAATAGCAAAGGTTCAGTGAAAATAGTCATATGCATTGTGTGTTTCTCTCTCTTCCCATAAGCATATTGTGTAAGGAGTCAGATTTTTTTCTCAATATTCACTTCTAGTTATTTCTCTCCATCTTTTCCACATGAATATTGTATAGAGAAGCAGAGTTTTTTCAGTACCCACTTCTAGTTATTTCTCTGAATTTCTCCCTACTGAGTTATCCAGAAATTTGAAGTGTTGATACTTTATATCACATATTATTATGCATCCTGTAACCTCTGTGAAAGTTCAATTTGTGATGTTGAGAGTGAAAATGGTATAAAGTTATAGCATTCTTATGAAAATTTTTCAGTGTCACAGAACCCCCTAAATGCTCTCGGGGACCTTTATGGATATTTGGATGACACTTTGAAAAACCACTAT